ACTCTCCTTCCTATACCATAACTGGAACACCATTCTCCCCAATACACATTTTGGCAAAGAAGAAAAAAATCAAAACAGAAAGAGTCACGTCTGTGAGACTTAATCGTTAAGTTACAGACTTGTCTATTGTACATGCCCACAGCCTAATGAAAAGTTCCATTTCCTGGACACAGAGACCGTCAACACAAGCTTATGTGTGTGCATGCACATACAGACAGAAAATACACAGCCAACTGTTAACAGTTCCAGGTTCTCTAAAGCATGCATTCTCAACAGGAATATATTGCTCCAGATGGATTAAAACTTGGCTCTCGGTGGGAAGAAGAATGTGAAAATGTGAAAAACATCTTAGATATTACAATGGTCTGTGGTCCTCCAAAGAGCCACAGATATGCAAACAGATATATAAACAGATATATATCATATATATAGTATCAAAAATTCATGGGTGGGGGCAATTAGGAGAAAATGTCTAAAAGAAGGCTCTTTGGGGGATGATAGTAAAAAATAGGCTGAGAAACACTGCTCTAAGGCAAAGATTCCCATTAAGTGTGCAAAATTAAAGGCATAGGTTATAGGTAGGCTGAGTAATGATCCTCTCAGGCCTCTGTGGATGCCAGTCAGGGCTTGCAGAAAGAGCAGGAATAAGGGTTAGAAGCCCGAGGGCATTTGTCCTGGTCTGGGGCATTCTCCTCCATTTATTCCAGTGTGCTTCCAAATATCATTTGCTGTGAGTGCTATTAAGTGAAAAAGCTTGGAAGCACCGAGTTTCTACTACAAATATGTATTTTTTTTTAAGATTTTATTTATTTTTTTAATGTAATTTCTACACTCAACGTAGGGCTCAAACTTACAACCCCAAGATCAAGAGTCACAGCCAGGTGCCCCACAAATATGTATTACTTTTACAACAAGAAATAAAACAAAAACACTTTCAATCTCTTCTTAGGTCTAGCGTAATAGGAGTCAAGAATTCAAAGTTCTATTCAGAACATGCCCTAAAAATGTCAACTATCCCATTGGGGAAACTTTTAAAAGAATCTACTCTGTCCACTTAGTCTATTGAGGAACAACGGTCATTTTTTGTATCATGCCATTTAAAAGTGGGAACTAAACCAGAGGTGTTATTACTCAAGAAGTGACAAAAAGGTCAGGAGTAGTGATGATGACCATTTATAAGCCAAGTATGAGGGAGTAAAAAACACATACATGAGAGAGACAAGTGGCATACAAAGAGAACAGATGCACAGAGATGACATGAGGGAGACTGGGAGATCCATGAAAGCAAAGTCCCTAGGTTTTTAATGTTGTCTCAGTTCCAATGCCCCTAGTGTCCAACAATACTGATTTTGTTCCTTAGTCTTTATTTACTAAGCCAACTTAAGTAGATCTGTGTTCCTTGAGCCCTAACTATAAGATAATAAGCCTAGAATTTTTTAAATATAATCTGGCAGGAATCTGGTTTAGATGTAAAAAACAAAAAACAAAAAGCAAAAAAAACCCAGAACATCAGCATGCCTACATTCAAACATTACTTCTTGGAATGTCCCTTCTATTTCTATAAAGACGACCAAATTGGGCACTTGGGTGGTTCAGTCAGTTAAGTGTCCCACTTCAGCTCAGGTCATGATCTCATGGTCTGTGAGTATGAGCCCCACATCAGGCTCTGTGCTGAGAGCTTGGAGCCTGGAGCCTGTTTTGGATTCTGTGTCTCCCTCTCTCTCTGCCCTCCCCCACTTGTGCTCTGTCTCTCTCTCTCAAAAATAAACAAACATTAAAAAAAAAAAAAAAAAAAAAAAAAAAAAAGACCAAAGTAATAATGAAGTGACTTGCTTTATGAAATTATTTCAAATTAATTAAAAATATATAGGTATCTTAAAAAATAACTTTAGATTGGTCTGTAGAATTTTTCTAAAAATAATTAAATGCAGGACTGGTTGCTTATGGGGGAAAAAAACTGAAGAAAAAAATGTAATGGAAACTCAGTGCTTCCAACTTTTCCAACTGTACATAAAAAACTGAAGCAAGTGCTTTTCTGATGAGAAATAAAATAATATAGCATGCGTGACGAAAAGAGTTCTGGAGATGGATGGTGGTGATAGTAGCACAACGTTATGAATGCATTTAATACAACTGAGCTATACGCTTAAAAATGTTACAGATGGTAAAGTTTATATTATATGTAGTTTACAATTAGAAAATAATAATACGGTACACCACTGCCTAACCTACCAGACTATTTTTATGTATCCTGCAAAGCAATTTTAGCTACTAGCAGAAATTTGAGTGTACATTCCCTTTCCCCAGTCCCCAAAATACCTTGAATATCTTGTCCTAAAACTTCCACATAGTTCTGATCTTTTAAGACTTCCTGGTCATCTTCTTCCAAATCATATTCTGGCTTCTTTATTATTTTTTTTGTGTTGACCAAAAGCTGAGCTCGCTCCTTTTTTAATTTAGCTCCTAAAAGAACATCCAAAGAATTAGAACATGACAGATATAAATTCTTTCTAAATATTACATTTAAATAAGTAAACTGTACTACTTATATTGTCATTATTTAAAATCTGGAAGAAAATTCACTGTTTTCTCTTTGATGAAAGTATATAGCACTCTTCACTACAGTTTATATAATTTTAAAAAAAATCCTGAAAGTGTATTATTTTGGGGGGGGTCAAAATAACTACACATTTTAATTACAATGGGTAGTTATCATTTATCCCTATTATTAAGCATTTCATATCAGATAAAGCTTTATTATTTTTAATTGTCAAAAGTTTGGAGTAAACTAAAAAAGTGGTTTTTATTTAGTCTTACTAGATCAAATACTTTGTGCTATATATTCAAAATAGAAGGTTAAAATATTTTAAAAAGTGAAATAATCCATAACCATCACATAAGCATCTCTTCAATTGTATAATCACTCTGTACCTCCTTCTCTATCAAGAATGTGATTAAGAACATCATCATCTCCCACAAATTGAACCTCCAGCATCTTGTCTTCTTTTAATTCCAGTTTACTCATCATTGCCAACCTAAACAAAAGCAATAAAGCACTACAAAGTGATGAAAAATTCATTATCAACAGCCAAATAAACATTCACATAACAAACACACGTATTTGTACAAAACACTTAAAGTCTCAAGTATGAAAAATATATTATACATTATTGTATTAATACTTTTTTTGATAATAGGTAACTCAGTTCTTTATCTGAAAAATGGAAAAGACAAGAAAAGGCAACTGACAGTTGGAAAAAAAACAAATTCAATCCAAACGAGGCAACTAAAGTATAATAACAGGGAACCAATTCTTCCTGTAAAGAAAGCTCTAACCAATCTACAGAATGATAACATTATCAGAAAAGGGGTGGTTAATACATGACAGTTTAGAAAAGGGACAGCCAAGCAAAGAATAATGGTTTGGTAGATTTTAGAATCTATTCATTGGAGATAAATAGTCCACTGGCGAAAGTCTATGTACTTCACTGGTATACCAAACCTGGATCAAACAATCCTCAAGCACCTCCCTGTAGTATTATTGCATGCTTACCAAACTTTACAATTATGAACGTGGCTTTCTGGGTATCATGGCAACTAAACAGTAAACATGAATCTTTCTAATACTTTATAGTCACTTCTTCACTGATCAAACTTCAGAGTTTGGCAAGCAAAACCTTGATCAACTCTGCCTACTTTGAAAAAACTTAATTTCAGAACTTATAATACTAATGGCCTGAAACCAACTGTGATTCTAACTAGCTGCTAGCTCATTGGTTTACCCAAAAAGTGAATTTTTTTTCTCTCCTCCTTCTTCTATAAATCCTATTTTTGTCTTTTCTCCTAATAAGAGGCTGACTACATCACTCATGAGTCAGTTACTTGCGTGAAGATAACTTACTAAATGCTGCGAAATTTTCTTCTGCACACTTAAATGACTTGTCTCTATTTTCTTTTTTTTGACTTGTCTCTATTTTCATTTACCTTTAAAGGTATTACACATTCTGCAGCTGGAAAATTCAGGTAGAGTCCCCTGCAAGTGGAAAAAAAAAGAACTTGGTCAAGGTCAGCTAATAGGAAATAAAAGAAACAAACAAGTTCATGAGTTTTAACAAACAAGATGAATACATAAATACAGTTCTTACAAAGTCAAACGTTATTATGAAGGCATAGGAAAGGGCAAAACAGCCATCAGTATTTTGGCCAGGAAGTACTAGATGAGAAGATCTGGACCACGGGGGCAGGTGGCTGGAGAGACGAGGCCAAAATTTGAGCACTTACTATATGCTGGACACAGTTTTGAATAATCTATACATATTCTCATTTAACACTCACCAACTCTATTAGGTTTTTGTGTATAAAGATAATACTTCATCTATAATTTATATGACCACTGCCAGCAGACCATATCGTTTTGGGCCATTTTTCTAGTCATGATACTGCTTTCTACCATGGGGAATTTGGACATATTACAGAAAAAGTTTAATGCATCTACATGACATATTAAAAAAAATTTTTTTTTAAAGGTTTATTCATTTTTCAGAGACAGAGACAAAGCGTGAGTGGGGGACGGGGAGAGAGACATAGAATCTGAAGCAGGCTCCAGGCTCTGAGCTGTCAGCACAGAGCCCGACTCAGGGCTTGAACTCACAGACCACAAAATCATGACCTGAGCCGAAGTGGGATGCTTAACCGACTGAGCCACCCAGGTGCCCCCATCTACATGACATTTGTATATAATAAACAAACTTATGATTTCTTTGTATATGTATAAAATAAAGTTTTTCTGAGGGGCTGTTTGTCGGGCACTCTATTAGGTACTTTCATGTATAGTAGACCATTAAATCCTTTTACTCATCCAAATTCATGCAACTAGAAAGTGTCTTAAGGGCTAAAACCCAAGTTTGATTCCAAAGTCCTTGATCATGCTACTACACACTTTTCCTGCCATTAAATACAAATCTGTTATCCTGAATGCTTGTTCTGACCTCTGGAAACTATTCATCATATATCTAATCATTTTCCCATCTGGCAGTTCAAACATCCAAAGATTTCTACAGTTCCTCCAGGTTTCCAGTTCATTAAGTTAAACACCCCTAGTTCTATTGAGCATACATGTTTTTATTTTTTATTTTATTTTATTTTTTTAAATTTTTTTTTTTCAACGTTTATTTATTTTTGGGACAGAGAGAGACAGAGCATGAACGGGGGAGGGGCAGAGAGAGAGGGAGACACAGAATCGGAAACAGGCTCCAGGCTCTGAGCCATCAGCCCAGAGCCCGACGCGGGGCTCGAACTCCCGGACCGCGAGATCGTGACCTGGCTGAAGTCGGACGCTTAACTGACTGCGCCACCCAGGCGCCCCGAGCATACATGTTTTTAATCTCTTTTTTAAAATGTTTGTTTAATTTTAAGAGACAACGGGAGTGGGTGCACAAGCGTAGAGGAGGGGCAGAGAGACAGAGGATCCATAGCAGGCTCTGTGCTGTCAGCACAGAACCTGACATGGAGCTTGAACTCATGAACCGTGAGAACCATGAGACCATGACCTGAGCCGAAGTCAGACGCTTAACCGAATGAGCCACCCGGACGCCCCTATCAAGCATATTTTTAGGAGCATGGCCAGATTCAGTCTAATGTATATTGTTTTAAAATATAAACAGCTATGTTTAAACATAATATAAACAGCTGTTTAAAATATAAACAGCTATGTTCTACAAAGGATTTGAAGTACTGACAATAAGCAAATGCAAGAAAACAAACGACAAACTGTAATAGTAATAGGAGTCTGGATCCAGGAAAATACAAAGAAAGCAGAAAATACATCATACAAAGAACAGTGGCTCAGAGCTAACTGGCAGCCAAAGTGAAAAAGGAATAAAGGTCAGTTGCATAATTCTCATTCACAAAAGTTTAGTAGTTCCTTTGGGGAAAGATTTTCAAGGAAAATTTAAAAACAAAAATTTTAGACAACTGAATATCATCTTTCGCAATTTCCCTATGGTATTTTACATAAGAATTGCCTGGACAGAGGCATCCTAACTTAATATTGTTTGTGGCTGAAAGCATTTCCTTTTCTAGATTTTAAGCCATCTTATTACACAGTACTGAATCACCAAACTGAAGAAACTTCTATAAAGACTTTGAAAGAAATCTTTCCTTCTTTTTCCAAAGATTTCTGAAAACAACAAAACAACAAACAAACAAAATCCACTACTTGACAACCACACAATAAAATGCAAATTTTTAGTGACCATTTGCTCTTCAAGGCACTGTCTTTGGGTGCTGAATTTTAAGTGGACTCCTTACAAGGAGTTAACCAGTCAGGTAATACAGCAGCACCAATGGCGTATTAATGGCAAAACACTCTCCTCTGAGAGCAAATAAAGGATTTGCTACAATTTTTAAAAACATAATCCTTAAAAAAAAAAAAGGTGGCATAGATTAGCACTAATTTTGATATCAGATAAGCCTAGGTTCTGATCTTAACTCCACACTCACAACTGTGGACAAAACGATTAAATGAGCTCATGTGCGTGGCATATGAAAATACTAATTAAATGTTCCTTATCACTGTTTTTTTTTTTAACTTCAACTTAACCATGTAGATTTCTTGACATCCCTACATCTCGTCTAATAGAAAAGGTGCTCAGTAAATGACAAATAAATGATATCTATTTAACGTGCAGTGCCAATACACAACGGTGTAGTAGAGCCATGCTATTTTTCCTTCAGACTGCCATTTAACTAGGGTGTAGGTATGATGGTTTTGTTAGGATTTCAGTTGTAAGACGAAAACTAATGCATCAACATCCTTTTAATGTAAAAAGCTCTACCAGAAGAGCCTGGTTCATCAACATTTTACAACCAAGCATGGTGCCAGGGTGACCGACCAGGCAGCAGGATTCATTTGGGGCATCCGGGCTGGGATGCCATCAAAGGTTCTCACTCCTGTGGCAGTTCTGGGACGAAATCTGTTCCTCGTTGTGCCTGCTCCTCTCTGGTCACTTTACACTTTTGTTACTGATTTTCACAGTTCTCTCTTTACGAGCACAAGGCTCTTTAAGCCGAGAAACTGATACGTTGGCAATGCGCCCCTTGCACAGAAGGCCTATCACTGCTGGAGAGACCGACCAACGGTACTTCCAGAAAGAGGCTGTCACCCCAACAAGTATTTATGGACTTTGGCCCGGGCCTCGAGCCACTTACCAGTTGGCCGCGCCGGGGGTCCTCGGGGCCTTCGGGCTGCGTGGGGAGGGCAACGACCCAGCCCGGAGAGCCGAGGGGGAGCCCTCTTCGAGACGAGTACCCCAGCTCAGACTGCGGAGCTGGACGCCACCGGACTCATCACCTCACAAACCCCGAGTTAAGAGGGAGAGGGAAGCGGGCTGCCCAGTCGTCCCACCACTCACCGCTAGGTCTCCGCCAGGCGCCGCTCGGGCCGCCCAGCACCTGCCGGCGGTACCCCGCTGACTGGGCACTCCAGGGGAGGTGGCTACGGCCCCAGCAGGAAAAGCCAGATGCCTGTTAAGCACAGCCGGAGCAGAGTCGCAGGGTCTCGGAGTCGCAGAGACGAGGAGGGAAGCCGGGAGGCCGGCTGGGGGATGGGGGTCCTGCCTGGGCACACCGAATCTCCCGCCCTGTCCATGGGCGGAGTCCAGGAAAGCCAATAGAAAGCGTAGTCAGCCGAGAGCGACGTCTCTGCCCGCCAGTCGGTTTCGGCCTGCCGGCCCCCCCCCCATCAAGAAACCTGAGGAAAACGAATCCCTAAACTCGGGTTCTGGGCCTTTCCTAGTCTCTTTCCGTTTCCGGGGAAAGGAGAAGGAAGTGTTGCTTACACCTGGAGGCATTTGTAGAGGTGTAGCAGGTTGAGCGGTCTGCCCTGAGGCAGTCTTAAAAGTCTTCATTGCTTTCTCTAGACACCTTCTTTTGAGCAAAAAGATAATGGGAATGAGTTTGCGATTTAAAAAAAATTTTTTTTTCTTAACGTTTATTTATTTTTGAGATAGAGAGAGACAGAGCATGAACTGGGGAGGGTCAGAGAAAGAGGGAGACACAGAATCCAAAACAGGCTCCAGGCTCTGAGCTGTCAGCACAGAGCCCGACGCGGGGCTCGAACTCAGGGACCGTGAGGTGACTGAGCCACCCAGGCGCCCCTATGTCGTTTTTAAACATTTATTTCGTTTGGGGTGAAAGGTAGGATTGCGTACATCTTAAGGTTTGGGGGTAGGGAAGAGGGAGACAGTCTTCTCTGTAAACAAGAGAATTAGGGCCGGGGCACTGAATATGGAGATGATCCGGATCGGACTCCTAATGGGATGGAGATACTGGTAAAATAGAACGAGTATATACAAAGAGATACTGAAGAAGAAAAGGATTGGACCTACTAAGATACGGTATTACCCACTAACAGAATATATTTCGTTTAGATGCATTTATTCAAAACAAAAAGCACTACAGAATACCCTGCATACTAGATAACGATATACTGTTGAGACAAACACGATCTCTGCTGTCACAGTAAATACTGTAGGAGAAGATAATGAAGGGACAATGAGAAAAATGCTACCATATGAGAAGTTAAATGTTTATTGAATCACGTGGCAGAAGTATCTAAAGGACAGAAGTCCAGAACAATTTCCTTGGAGGAAGAGATGTTTAGACTGAGGGTTAAGCAGTTTTAGGCCAGGGAAAGAGGAGGGGCAAAATTTTCCAGCTAGAAAGCCCAAGTCAATATAGCAGGTACCTAAAGGGGTAAGAGGCAAGCACCAAAGTTGGGTCTGTTGTTTTGCGCGCTAGTTTGGCTCTTGGTACACTAGTCAGAGTTGTACTGAAAGATCACTGGATAAGGAGTAAGAGTGGGAGCAGAAAGAAGGGATGGAGTCACACCTTTTGGAAGCTGTTTAAGAAATCCATGTGAGAAAGAAATGATGGTAGCCTGGATATCTTAATATTCCATTTTGGTTGGCAAAGTTTAAGAAAACAAAGGATAAAGGCAATTTTCTCTATATTGGAAATTAAAAAGGAGTCTGGGG